GCCTGTGGAACTCCAAATCCATGCCCTTTGTGACATAATTTTGTCTCCTGAGGTAACGGTGTCAGTGGCTTTTAACCCTTTAATGTATTGGAACTTCGATAAACTAATGAATTCTATAGACCTGCCACCGAGAAATTAAAATAGGCACATGAACGCCGTTTTGCATAAAATTTCAGGGTTCCCACGTAGGGACTAGGTTGAGAACCCTGAAGACTGGAAACGCCTCACGTTGCTTGATGGATAACAGGCTTTCCATCAGGACCGACGGGGTTTGTGCTGGCTGCAAAACAGCACGCTGCATCCTCCTTCCCCTCTTACTGATTTCATAGGCGGTCTTGGCCAAAGCGTTCTTTTCTGGCTCCTGGTTTTATCTTGCCCATATTTTAATGGTAGAATCAGATCTTCACTGTACTTGTTCTCTGCCTTATGGCTGGCCACTCTATTAGGAACAAGCTATCCTTTTTTGAAGAAAAACAAGAGCAGCCTTTTGAAATGATTCCCTTTGGAGGACATCTGGTGTGCCATTAAGCTTCCTTCTTGTCTGGTCCAGAGAGCCACAGTCAGTCACATCAGGCGGGGCGTGTGCTGGGACTCTGAACATTGCTTCCCACTCCAGTCGCTGCTGCTGGCTGCACAGGGCCCAATAGATGGCGTCAGTAGCCCAAAGATGAAGTCCTGAGGCAAAGGTTTTTCTGTTTTAGACAGGGCCATGTGTTATTTATGAGGGGGAAATTAACTTTGAAATCTTCTTAGTTTGCCCCAAGCAATATATGCAGTAAACATGATTTTCTCAGCACAAGGTAACAAATAGTCTTTCTAGCAAATTAGATGAATTCTGATGTCTGCTTTCTGGGACTTCAGAGTTATGTGTATTTGGCTTTTTCAAAAAAAATATTAACATTCAAAGTGCATCTGCTTCACAGAGAAGAATGTCCAAATGGTCCTATGAGATCTTGGGAGAAAAAAAATTGCAAATCCTGAAAAAATGCAAAAGCCTTAGTCGGAAACTTTGTATTGTTGCTTAAAAGGTAATTCTCTGCTCTCTCCACAGTATATTGTTGTATTGGACTCAGATGCAGGTGGTTGGAAATGCATTCTACTTTGGAGCCAGGCAGATTTAAATCTGAATTCCTTGCCATGTGGAAATTGTGTGATGCTGGGTGAGTTAAATTTCCTGGAACCTTACCTTATTTCTTCATCTGTAAAATGGGTTTATGATACCTATTTTCTAGAGTTGTTTGTACTACATGGTGTACTATGTATACATAACTATAAAGTAGTTATGCAAGGTGGACATTCAGTAAGTACTAATTCCATTCCTCTTTTTAACATGTTGCTGGACTGAAGTAATGGCAGATGATCTATGTTTATGGTGTTGGTAAGAGTTTGCAAATGAGAATTTGTTTTAAATAAATGTTTTAATAATACATGAGTAAAGGGTAGCAGAGAGAAGTAACTGTGGTTTTATAAAACAAAGTTTTATAAAATGGCAGGTGAGAATGGAAGAAAAGTACCCCATGAGTCATGGTGGCTTTGAACAGTGCATCCTGTGGACATAATGTCACGAATAAAACCAACAACTGAGAATGACTTGTATTAGAATAATAATGAAATTTGCCCTATGGTAGAGCAGTCACCTAGGCTTGGGTCAGATCTCAGCTCCAGCACTTCTTCTGACCGTGCGACCAGGCTGCAGATTGCTTGTAACTCCTCTGAGCCTCGGTTTCCTCACAGGTGACATGTGGGTGATACCATTTACCTCATCTGTGAAAACTGGATTGTTTGAGGCTTAAATTAGTTAGTGTGTGATAGCGACTTGGGTCAGTGTTTAGCATATACTGAGCAGTTTTTATGGCTGTCATTGCTGTTATATGTCAGGCTGTTACAGTAGTTGGGTCAAAAGATCTCGAGCTAGAAAAATCTATTATTGGGCTCTTGTTCTGTGATTTAATGACCATGTAGTTTTGCTAAGTCACTGACTTAGTTTTTCCCTTCATCCAATGCTGGTCAGCATGGCAATGATCCCACACCAGCCACCTTGGAGGGTTTTTCTGAGCATTGGGTATAGTCTAATGTGGCTGTAATTCAGAGAATTGGATGGAGAAGCTGAAAATCTTATTAGGAAAAACCACACCAAAGGAAGCCTGAGGTGACTAGCTAGAGAACAGGAACAGGTGTGGAGGAAGAAGATGGTAATGAGCTGAGAATAGCAGGGTGGCAGCAGAAGGGAAAAGGATGGCTTTTACTCCCTGTTTATTTCACAAGTGTGAAGGGAGAGCAGCAGATTCCAAAATGACCCAGGGAACTGTATGCACTGCTGAGCCCATGGTACAGACAGTGAGCAAGGAGACCCGTGGAGGGAAGGATCGAGATGGTGCCTAAAGCGGGGAAAGTGTCCCAAGAGGCTGGGTATCTCCTCAGCCCTCCCTGTGGAGCGAAGGGCAGCTATAGACAGAAGTTCAGGCAGTGTGGGGAGTTTGGGGTCTGTATGACAACACCAACTTGATTATTGTTATTTATGATTTTTGAATCTTAATTACATTTCTCTTGGAGTAAATTTGTAGTTAGAAGAGGTTTCGGACCTGTCATCTATTTCCAGGAGGTGTAAACATGGCGATATTGACAACAAAGGCCATATGCCATGCAGCTAACGTTACTGAGCGTTGGCCTAGCAGTGAGGTATCAGTGCTCTGTCAGCTGTAACATGCAGACAAATGCTTGCTATAAGCGCAGATGTGAACTGCTACTTCTTGAGTGGCAGCGTGGTAAAGTGGATAGAATAAAAATTTGAAATCAGATGTCTTTGGGTCTGAATCTTGCCTCAGCCACTTACTGGACATGGGTGTAAGTCGGGAGAAAATCAACTGTAGGTGATGAGGCCGAGTTCAAGTGAGAAAGAAGAGAAGGTAATTAGAGAGAAGGCCACCAACATCAGGTTCAAGTAAGTGTCAGAGGCAGGGAGATCAAACCAGAATAAAGAAGGTTCCTCAACCAAAGGGATGTCACAAGCAATAAATAACCAACCCAGGTGAGATTCCTGGAAAGAGACTCTGGGATGGATATTTGCCTGTAGGACCAGGGGGTAAGGGAGTAAGGAAGCAGGAGTAAGTGGATGGAGAAGCTGCGTGGATACTGGTTACAGTAGAGGCCTTGGTCAGTCCTACATGAAGCTCTGGAGTGGGAGAGGTCCTTCACGGATGTCTCACACTGTGGCTTCTGCACTCTGCCTCACTGAATCATTGATGTGGGCAGGTGCATAGCCAGAGAGGGATTATAACCTTGGGTGAGGCAGCTCATTTCAGTGGAGGGATTTACTAGTGAGCTTTAGTAGCCAGCACTCCTAACAGCTGGGAAGATGGGTGCCTGATTGTAGGAGCATCTGGGTGGCCCACCGGGGCATCCACTGCAGTTCACTGCTGGTGCCCTGCAGAATCCACTTGCTTTGTGTAATAAATTAACTGGTATTAGAACAGCTGGTAGTCTTTTTCTTGCAGACACTGGTCCAATATACTGTTAGTCTCTTTTCTGCAGAAAATATATTACATCCTATACTGAACAATGAACTCTTCTTACCATCCTGTGCTTTCGATTACTGGCTTGCTGGTGTGTTTTCCTTTGCAGATTCTGGACAATTAAAAAGGCTACTTTTTGTTATTTGTTTTTGTGTCTTTTGTGTGTAGCAGAGAATAGCATGTGTCCAGTGTGTCCAGAACATACCTGGCACTCAACACTGTGTTTTCAGTGACTGAAAGAAATGATTATAGGAATCAAACAAGTCACTTGCTGGCATCTCGTTATACCCCTAACATTTCAACCAAAATTATTATAGCGATAAAACAGGAGATACAGGATATATAACAAACCTGCAGCAATCAATTGCATTCCTACTTATTTTCTATTAATACAGAGCTTGGAAATTACTGAAAAAAATGCTTTTGATGAAACAGGTTAATGTCCCCATCCCCACATTGCCTGTTACTTCTATATTTATACTTTATATATATATTTTCCTATAATACAGTTTTTTTCATAAAAACAAATTATGTAGCCCAAATTGGAAAAGCAAAAGAAGATATGAATGAAAGGATATTCCTCTTTCCTGGAAGGTAGTACTAATTATTGTAAAGATGGTACTATCCCCTAGTTCATTTTTATACCTAGTGCAAAATTAGAACCTTTGCAGAATATTTCTGAATCTTAAAAAATTAAAAAAAAAAAACAAAAAAAAAAAAGGAAAAAAAAACAAAAATTTTTTTAAAGGCAGTGACAATGTCATTGCTGTGTAATATTTTAAACCATTTGAGAAAATAACAATCATCAAAAGTATATGATATGGAGTTGAACATATGGTGAATTCAGAAATATATTTAAATTATTTTAGTAGAGGTTTAGAAATATTTGTTAGAGACTAGATACATCTAGCACTTCAAGATTGAACAAAATTATTATAATATTGAGAAAATAATTTTTTTTAGGGGTTAGCATAGCACTCTATTGTGGCTTTGAGAAAACTGATTATTATTAAATGTCCTATTGGGCAGTTTAATGCCAGTACAAAATAAATTTAATTCATTCTTTATTCTATACACTAAGATACTTTTCAGGATACAAGAGTTAAAATCTAGAAGGAAGTGGAATAGTATATTTATGTCAGCTTTGGATGGAAGATATATTTTTGCAAGCCAAAATGTAATAGAAGAAATGGTAATAGAAACTGAAAGATAGGGAACTGGATATATGGCAATCATAACTGATAAGAACTTATTTACTGAATATACAGCAGCAACTAACTTTTACTTAATGCTTAACAGCTCACCAAACATTCATGTACTTCATTAGATCTTCTAAACCTTCCAACTCAAAGTATGGTCCTCATACCAGCAGTGCTGACATCACCCAGAGCTTATTAGAAATACAGAATCCTAGGCCCAACCTCAGACCTACTCAGTCAGGATCTGAATTGTAACAAGACCCCCAGGTGATTATATACACATCTGAGTCTGAGAAACTCTATTCTAAATGACTTACAAGGAAAGTAAGCCTTAAAATAGTTTAGTAATGTATCGAAGATCACAGTCACATAAAATAGTGAAATTTCATTTCTAGGTCTTCTAACCACAGATTTCTTTTTATTCATTTATCAATTTGACACACATTGATTGATACCTAGGTACAGGCACTGACCGGGCTGGGGATAATATAGTGCTCTGTGTGTCTGATCTTCCCAGGCCCTCTCCTGAAATATCCATTCATAGTCTTTCCTCAGCACAAACATGCTTCAGTTTAAAAAGTAGAAAATATTGTCATATTGAAAAATCTTTTCTTTTTATTCTTCATCATTTATATATAACCATGAGTTAAAGTATCATTAAATGCCTTATTTAACAAAATAAATATAAATGGTAAATCTCAATGGTAATTAAGATTCAGAGAAATAAGCACATTCTTGCTAAAGGAAAAAAATAGTTTCTACCTATCTGGAGCATAAGACAATTCCATGTGATAAGAGCTATAAAACTGTTTAAACCTTTTAACTACCTTATTCCACCTTTTGAAAAAAACTCCAAGGAAATGATTTCAGTGGAGAAAGAGATAAGTGGCTATAAAGATATCATAATTATATTTTTTGTTACAGTGATACCAAAAGCAAAATAATTCAAATGTTGCAATGTCATTAATAAATCAAGCCCATGTTATCATGCAGCTACAGAGGCAGTAAGAAAGCTGAACCCGCTTGCAGTAGGTTCCCTGCTTAGAGAAGAAGGTCTAGGCTCTGCAGCCTGGCATCCTGCGTGATCAAGTTTCCACTTTCCTTCCAGATGAGGTTGCTTCCACGGTGCTGTCTTCTTATTCTTCCCCTAATGGTCCTTGGTCTCTTTTTGATTTTGTAATTTTGCTTTTCTGGTTCCCTCTTCTTCTGACTCCATAATGTGGCATAAACATCCTTTGTGATCGGCCTGCCTCCTTTTCCAGCCTCACCCATCGGGCCCCCTCCTGGAAGTTAGGTTCTAAGAGCTCTGAATTCCCTGTGGCAGTCTGAATGCACAGGGCCACGTCGAGTGTCTGGATGCAGCCGTCACCTGCCCAACGTCCCCATGATCACTCCTCTGGCAGGTGAGCCACTCCTCATCCCTGCAGATGAACTCAGTCCCTTATGAAG